TTTTCATCACCATTTTTCATATATGTGTTGACAGGTAAGCACCATATAAAATACACATCAGTCAATCATTAGGGAAATGATTCACCAATGCATAAAACATCAAATTATCGGTAGAGTTCCAATTTTAAAACATACCCAATTTTTAATAATCGGCTAAACCAAACAATGAGATACATGGACATTTTAACAAATGCCTATATAGATCCGACGTAATACCGTTTTTTTGAAAAACAGCCATGATTCCAAATCTCCCCATTGTATGAAATCCTAGGGTGTTAAATGGTCATTAAATTGTCATAAAGAAAGTATCCCACTAGTGAAGATATTACATTGAAGTTTGTTTGTCGCCACCAGAGTAAAGAGCAAAGAGAAGGGGTCTCCCCTGTCAGACGATGAATTTTTAGGGTTTGAAAAAAAAAAATGCATTAAATTGTCTTTTACGGGTGCTGCTGATATTATTATATAAGTTTTACAGGGAGTTGCGAAGTATCCTTGCATTCCGAATCTTTATAATGGCAGAAGTATTCAAGAACCGACAAATTAGGTAAAAGCCCACTTGATACATATTACCTTATACCGAGCGGTGGGCTGTTAATTAGTGAATGAATGCTTTCAATTTATTATTTTATTTGCCACTGCGCCACTTATTTTTAAGTTGCGTTTGGCACTAGATTATTATGTTTTTGGCTCATTTTTGGTTCCCTTAGAGCCCAATGTTAAAAAGCAAAATCCAATTCAAAAAGCGCCTAATTTTATTTTATTTAATTTTAGATAACCCAAAAACAGGCACCTGATTGCAGAATTATAGGTTGCATCTAGTAGTACATAAGATGGATCATGGATGCTCTACCTAGGATCCATAGTTGTGGTCCATTATCATGTATATAATTCTGGGGGCCCAGCTCCTATTAGAAGTCGGTTTCATTCACTGCTCAAAGTTTGGAAGGATTATCATCATGTACGTACAGCGGTACAGGCTTGGATTCATCACAAATTGTAAGCAATAGAAACGCAGGATAATTGATAGGCCTTGTTATTTATCACCAGATGGCCCATGGGCCATCGGAAAGTTTGGAAACGATAAAAAACCAATAACACAAACCCTGAGACCCTACTTGTCCCATTCTCTCTCTCTCTCTCTCTCTTTCTCTGCAATGGGCATTAACAACCTAGTCTACGTAGAAGGAATCCATAGGCCTACACACAACAATCTCTACTCTCTACACTCTCCAGGGTGTATATGTGGTCATCCACCAATGAACCATGAAGGGTATTAAACTTCACCAAGACAGACGTGTAATTTTTTTATTGTGTCTTTAATCTTATGAATATTTAATGGACAAAGCAAGGTAAGACTTGAGAGATTGTATATATAATAACAAAATACACTAGTGCATTTATTGCTTAGTCATGGCTACTTTTATTTTGCTTTTATTTGGGGAGGCCTATTTTTAATTGGTGGAGATCTTGAAATCCACGACTGACTGAGAGAGTTCAGACTTCAGAGAGGGGTCTATGACTCAGAGATCTCAAACCCAAGAATCCAAAGATCTAGAGAGAGATGTTTGGGGCAGTGGGAGTGGTGTGAAGCTAGATACTGTGTGGTGCTCTTGTAGAATGACGTAAACCCCACTCTGGCCTCTGCACATGTTACAACTCATAGTCATTACAAAAAAACAGGAAAGACAAATACTGCATTTACGGTTTTTGGCCCTCTTCTCTTCACATCTATCTTTTCTTTTAACTTTTTACTTGGTTTAGCAAGTCAGTCTGAAGGCTAAAGCCACGGTAGCCACCCCCCGCCAATCTTATTTTTAATACCAGCGTTTTAACGAAGTTTCCTTTTATTTGGATTTTGGATCATTCAACTCAAGAATGCCCGATTCATCATATTCACTATTAAATGTCCAAAATTATTCATTTTCAAATCCCCCGATCCGAGTTCTGAAACATGTGTTATTGCACACTTGTGTTTCTTTCTCTCTGTGTAGTAGAGTAATAGTATTGGTGCGAATGGGAGGGACTGAGGGAGTAGAAGAGAGAGACATCATTTGTGAATCTGAAACGATGAAAACGGCAACCTATACTGTATAGGTCTAGCTACAGCTAGGGTCCCAGCACAAGTACACTCTCTGAGACTCTGACTCTCCTCAATCAATTTTTAATTTTCACCACCCGAAGAATCGAATCAGGGGAGGAGCCGGGATCTGTTGGTAGCAACTCGACATTGCTGTCAAAGAGAAGGGCTAGGGGAGGAGGGGGGGTCGGTGGCAACCCCAAAACAAGCACCCCACCCTTCCCCAGAATAGTTGATTATCATATCAAACCCCAATCTCATTTACCTATTAACTAAAAAAGACGTCTCACCAACCCAAAAAGAATTCAAGATCGATTTCAAAATAAAATCAGAGAAGATTGTGATAGGAGTTAGCTCGAGGACCATAACATGATAACAATAACAATTAATTAAAAGGAGCATATGATATGATAGGCGTGCCCAATCCAAAGACAAACCTGAAAATTATAACCATTATAAGCAAAACCATCCCTACATTTTCAGAACCAGTGGATCACCAAGTTAGAGTGAGAGAGATTTGAGATCGCTAAGTACTCGTCAGATTTTGGCAATTGTCTAATTTTGCTACATTAACTGAAATCGCTTCCATCACTACATTATATTCAAAACATCCACCAATTTATTTTCTCTGCCGACAAACTCGATTCCAGGTGTCCAACTTCTAATCTAAATATGTAATCCCTTTGTTTTTAAGAGCTGCCCATCCCTCAACCCAAGTGCAGGCGAGATTTAATCTCAAGTCTCGACTACGATCAACAAGAGACCTTATCAATCCGTTGGTTAGCACATTGCAATCTAATCCCTTTCATATTCTACCTTAACACCCTTCCACCCCAAGAGAAATATTCTAATGGTATGGATGTAACAATGTTTAAAATTTTGCAAAAAAGAAACAGTTTTCATATTTCATTGGGCTAAAATGCAATCATGTACCTACCTTTTCAATTTTTTTTTATAAGTTATTCAAATTTGGCTCATGAAACATTTGATTCGGTTTAATCCAAACTGACTTTCAAGTTAAGGTCCAGTGCAATGAAGCTTGACTCATGAAATTCACAAATTTAATCAAACTTACATTATATATAATATTTTACTTTTTTTTTTATATTTACAATTCTTGATTTTTAAATGTATATATATATATATATATATATATATATATATATATATATTTTTTTTTTTTTTATATGAAGTTTGGCTCATTGTCAAGCTTCAACCGAACCAAGTTCTAAATCATATGAGCATTTGAGTTAAGCGAATTTCAAGTTCATGTTTCTAGCTCAAACTTCAAATCGAGTCCGGATGTGAATTTGAATTAAGGGGTGAGTAAATGGACAAGTTCTATTTGGAACCAAATAGAATCAGCCTTGAACAGACCTTATGTAATCTGTTACGGGGTAGGGTCTAATTCCAAATTTTTGAAACCAACCCCCACCCAAATTGGTTATAGGGTCTAAGAGTTTATCCTACTAGAATCAGCATGATGAATTGGCCTTGGTGGAACCAACCTTAAAGCTGAAGTTGAATTAAAATAAATGGTAAATATTTTGAAAATATAAAAATTTGAACACAACCACTCAAATCGCAAAATAATTTGAAGATGAACCATTGAAGCTGAGATTAAATAGCTATATATTTGACTCAACTCCACTCAAATCCACCCTTTCATCCATCCATCCAATTACACATTTACACCCATAAAAAAAAAAGAATCACAAACACAAAGGAGGAAAATTGCCTTGTAAGGTCTCCAACCTTTCCAGTTTCATTATTCTTTTATGTAACTTGCCTTTTCACCTAATCATCCATCTAACCACATGCTTCATTAATACCATCCACATTCAACAATACGAATATGCTTTCATAATCTGAACCGTGGTTCGAGCAAACGGCTGTTGTGGTTCAGTTTTGAAGGAAAAGAAGTTAAAACCGTCGTCCAACTCTGTTTTTTTTAACCATCTAACTAATTCTGTAACCGTCGGTTGTTTCCCCTCTTCATTCATACAATACAACAAAACAACTTATTGGAATTTTGGTAGTAGGTGGTGCTTCCTTAATTCTCCATCAAAGTACTTTGGATGTAATATGACAGGACTACCCTCAACCTCAGTCGGTCTCAGTCCCCTCTTCCTTAATTCTTCTCCAATCTCTTTTGATCCGTTCGGCTTCGGCCTGTTGAAGGAAAATGAAACCGTCATCGTCATCCGTCATCCGTCCTCAATCACTCCAGATTCTGACAGCCCCGTTATTTTTGGGTTCTTCATTTACTCGACCGTTGTGCTCCTTCTGACACATTGCACTATTTCACTTCCATCTAACGGCGCAACCGACATCCTAACGGACATCCTTCCAGTCAATTCTCACGATATCTCTGCAAAATGTCATCTCTCCCCAACCAAACTCCAAAGGGAGAAGTACCGATCAGCCCAGCTCAGAGTTTACTAGCCATGAAGTACAGGGGGAATGCATCTGACTGTGAATTGATATCAAATTTACGGGCAGGATATGATTTATAGGGGGAAGAGAGCTAGTTGTAGAGGGTGACTGGAATTCAGAATTCTGCATCGTGTGTATTTATACTTTTCCCAACTCCAAATGGGTCCATTCATCGTCCTCAATCCGGAATTTCGGATCTTTCTTTTTCACTTCCAAATAAACCCGTAACCGACAAATATCGCGATATTTTGTCGGCGTCCGACGGTCGACGGATGACTCACCGGAGTGAGTCCCAGATCATAATTCCTGAATCTAACGGCGTGTACTATATTTGTCTACTGTGATGTTGAGGTATTTTTCGAGTGCCACGTGTTTAAAGGTCGGAAGGTTGTGTTGTGACATATGTGGGGGCAAAAGGACCGTGTGGGTCACAGGGCCCGACTGGAGTCTGGATATACCCAGCGAGGCGCGAGAGAGAGAGAGAGAGAGAGCTGCGAGCCTGTATTTATTCGCAGTAGCATTTGACCATGGTTGGACAGAGGATACTAAAGGGAGGAGATCGGGAGAGGGGAAAGAATTAACCCTAGTTAAAAGTAAAGGGGGAGGGCAAGGGGATTATCCCATGCTGTACGACTCCTCATCTTCTTTGCGTATAGACATCACCGACGCCGAATTTATATCTGCGGCATTTCTCTCTCTGTTCTTTCTTTGACCGGCGATTTGAATCAAAGTTTCCGGTGATTTCCGCCGGGATCTGCTCGACGAAATCGAATTTACGAAACGGAGCGATTTATCCGATCGGCGCCGGAACTTCCCTCTATCTGATTGGAAAGGAATTCTTTGTAAAGAAGGAGATCGGGATTCGGGAGGCACTTTGTTATCTTATCTGTATATTTGGGAGAGGTCAGGTTCGGTTAGGATTTCTTTTCTGTTGGAGATCCAAGTGAGAATTTTGGTTTTTATGGAAATGTATAAGTTATGTTTGTGATTTGAGGCATATTTTGAGAGAGGAATCATTGGGTGAGCTCTGATGTTTCTGAGCTTTGAGAGGGAACTCGGGAGAGATTTGAGTTGATAGATAGTAAGGACTTTGTCTTCTCTTTTACAGGATTGTTTCTTAGGATTTAGGTGGGGTATTGGTTGGATTAGTTTCTGATTTAATTTAGTTTTGTTCTGAATTCGTTTATCATTTTCGGGAGTAAAAAGATTCGGGGTGGATAGCGACTTTGTGGGGTTCTTGAGATTAATTATAGATAGTTGAATTATTTGTTCTAATATTTTAATGCTACATTGATCGGAATCGAGGAAATTTTACAGTTTCAAGGCGTTTTGGGCTTGAGTTATGTTAGTGTGAAGAGCCATCTCTTCCTAAAGAGAGGGCTTCATCTCTAACTGCTAACCGTGTATTCACCAACTCAGTTGTTCCCTTTGTCTCGATTTAAGATAATTAGATCAGAAATCAAAGAGAAGGGGGCTAGTTCTATCTACAAAAATTTCTCTCCTACTGTCCCTCAATTCCAGCTGGCCCCTCTGTCGATTACCACATTGGTGCTGTGTCGTCCGAGGATTCTTATCAGAACCCATTTTTCTGATGGAGTGAAAGAGTTCAACTTCGACGTCTGTATGGGGGAAGATAAGAGTCGCAGGGGTCGGTATCAGGATGTGCAGGCTGGAGAAATCTGAGAAGAAGTTTGATTTTAGAGTGGAGAAGGAGAAAAAGTGGCAGATGGCCTTCAAGTATCCGGGGGAGAGTAAAGTTGAAAAATTGAAGAGTTCAATGGTTCCCCGGTCTCGTATGAAACTCTGGTTGATTCGGGCGACGACTACCGTGTTGCTCTGGACTTGCGTTGTACAGTTGACAGCATTGGGGGAGATGTGGGGGCCGAGGGTGTTGAAGGGATGGCCGTCTTGCTTTACGCCTTCGGATTCCGCTTTATCCGTCAAATTGTCTTCTGCTCCAGCGAAAGTTGTCCTTCCGCCCAAAAGTGAGTTCCCAAACCTAACAATTTCATTCATTCTCACCATCTTTAGTTCGTTCTGTTTTTCTTCTGATTGATGGCCGTTAGTGTTGCTCTTTAGGTTATTTAGATTAAAATGTATCCACATTTTATTGTTAAACAAAACCAGTATTTTCCCCTGAGATTTATACAGTAACTAAAGCATATCAATTGAATGGAAATCTAATTTTCATTTAGGACTGAACCCCGGATTACAGATTCTTTTTTTTTTTTTTTTTGGAGACTTGGTTCTCCTCTTGACTTTGGTAAGTTGAGAAGCTTATCAAATTGGTAATGTCTCCAGTCCACTTGAACTTGCTTTCTTGAAAATTTAATTTAGGTGTCACATTCCTTCTTTGTCTGTGCGCTATTGGTAAATTTTCTTTTTTTTTTTTATTGGGGATTTCCTAAAGTGATTATTTTATCTTCTCCTGTGGTGCTTCTCATGTTCTCAAGTATTCAAATTCGATAGATGGTGCCTCCTTGCAGGTAAAATGAATGGGGCTTTATCTTCATTATAGTAGGAAAATTATCATTCAGTCACTGATTATGGCATGAAATCCATGCTTGTTACTTTCATTCCTATGGTCAGGTCTTTCCTTTCAGTTTTCTTACTTATAATAGTTGACTTGTTTCAGTTTGATATTTGCCTTTGTTGATGCTCATCAGACTCAATTGAGGTTGTGCTGATCCATTTGGCATCTTCCTTGTTATGATTTGTTTTTCATTTGGTAACTCTTAGAGGTTTTGTGTCTTGACATTAAACATAATTTGGGCCTTGTTACAGGGGTTTATAAGAACAATGGTTACCTGATGGTTTCATGCAATGGTGGACTTAATCAGATGAGAGCAGCGGTGAGTGGTCAGCCATTTATTTTGCATTTTTCATGCCCTTGCATTTTCTTCATGGTAGATATTCTAACTCATCCTTTATTGCTGTGTTTCCCTTCTGATTGTTTTACTTTTGATTTGCTCTACAGATCTGTGACATGGTTACAATTGCAAGACATCTAAATGTTACACTCATTGTCCCTGAGCTAGACAAAACCTCTTTCTGGGCTGATCCCAGGTGGGTCGATTTTCTTCCCCAGTTCAGTTAAATTTATGAACCCTGTTTATTGCATTGTCTTTTAATTATAGGGATGAAGTATTTCTGTAGGTGAATTTGTTATGAATCATGCTGTGCTCCCCAAGTTCTTAACAATATTCATTGCTTGTTGATATCACAGTGAGTTTGAAGACATATTTGATGTGGAACATTTCATAACATCCTTGAGGGATGAGGTTCGGGTATTGAAAGAGTTACCACCCAGGCTGAAGAGAAGAGCAGAACTTGGAATGGTGTATTCCATGCCGCCTATTAGTTGGTCTAACCTTTCATACTATGTTAATCAGGTCTGTTCTCTTTTCAACTTAACATTTTGTTTTGCATTGTTAGTTATGGTTTACAACTGTGCAACTAATTCTTTTATGAAAATAAAGAATAAAAAGTACAACTAATTTTTTGATTTTTTTTTTTGTAAGCAGATCCTCCCTCTCATTCAAAAGCACAAGATCTTGCATTTAAATAGAACTGATGCTCGACTTGCTAATAATGGGTTGCCTCTAGAGATTCAGAGGTTGCGCTGTCGAGTAAATTTCAGTGCTCTGCGATTCACTTCTCAGATAGAGGAGCTGGGAAGACGGGTTATTAAGCTTCTAAGGCAAAAAGGCCCTTTCCTAGTCCTTCACCTCAGATATGAAATGGATATGCTGGCATTCTCCGGCTGTACTCAAGGTTGCAACGATGAAGAGGTGGAAGAGTTGACAAGAATGCGGTAAGATACTAAGATTTATTCTTTTCTATGAAAAATATTAGGCTGTCTGCCATTCCTTTAATGACCAAGGCCCTCTTGTCAGATATGCTTATCCATGGTGGAAGGAAAAAGTCATAGATTCTGATCTGAAAAGAAAAGATGGTTTGTGCCCTTTGACACCTGAAGAAACTGCTCTAGTGTTGAAGGCATTGGATATTGACCGTAATTTCCAAATATTTATTGCTGCCGGAGAAATATATGGAGGACAAAAGAGAATGGAAAGTCTGGCTGAGGCTTATCCAAATCTGGTCAGTAGATGGAAGCAGAAAAATGAAGTCCTTGAATTCATTGGACACCCTTCTTTTTTTCTTTTTTTTTTTGCTACTAACTGCATTAGATTTCGAACAGGTGAGAAAAGAAACATTATTGGAACCCCCAGATCTTAGATTTTTCCAGAACCACTCATCCCAGATGGCGGCATTGGATTATCTAGTTTCACTGGAGAGTGATATCTTCATTCCTACATATGATGGAAACATGGCTAAAGTTGTTGAAGGGCATCGCAGGTACTATAATCCATATGATTTAGTTTGCGAACCTAGTTCTATTTTCAGGCTTTGGAATTAGTATGAACTTGCAGAAATCAAATAGACTGAGTTTGATGAACTTAACCTAGGATGAAGTTACTTGTTTTGGTTGTAATCAGCGGAGGGAGTCTAATAGTGTCAATTGAGCAGCACAGATTGAATCAGATTAAATAGCCACCCCAGCCAAGTCCTAAGAATAGAAGAATTGATGCATAACCTATCTTAAGCTCCCCACATCAGGATAATTTTCTTGAATTTAATCCTGCACTGGGTTATGTAAGATAGGAACCTATAGTGCTGCACTTACAGAACCATGCACAGTAGCAAAGCAGATGCTTCTGTTATTTTCTTATTTGTATGTTTGCAGAATACAAAACATTGTTTAGGTGCAAACGTAAGTTGAAAATTGCCTCGGGGTGAGTGTGATATCCCAGTCTGCATAACTTGAGGTTTAATAAAACAAGCCTGTTGTTTTCTATGAGATAAAATTTTTGTTTTTAATTCTTTTCAGATTCCTTGGATTCAAGAAGACAATTCTATTGGACAGAAAGCTTCTAGTAGATCTGATAGATCAATACAATGATGGGTTACTGGATTGGAACAAGTTCTCCTTTTTAGTGAAGGAAGCACATGAAAATCGCATGGGAAGTCCAACTAGAAGAGTGGTGATTCCAGACAGACCCAAAGAAGAGGATTATTTCTATGCCAACCCGCAGGAGTGTTTGGGACATTCAGATGAGCTATTGAGTAGTGCATGAGATTACGCCAAAGATTTATCTGTTTGGCTGTCAAACATCCCTCATCGCTATCCTTGGCAGACAAAATGATGCATTTCCCTACAGAGGTAGAAAAGCGCGGGAAGGATTCTGGTCTAAGGAAAGAAAGGGCAGAGAGATGATTTCGGATTGGGGGGATGCCCCCAGCCCCCAGGGAAGGTTTATTGGGAAGTTGCTGGATGGTATTTATATATCTTTTTTATATTTACAAATAATACAATTCTTGTATAGAGAGCGATTCCTGCTATTGCAGGAGAAATATCACATCAGCTGTAATGTACAACAAACGGGGATTGAAATAGAGATTCAGTTTATTGGAATTGGGGGGACTCCGTGAAGGTTGGGTCCCTTTTCTTCCCATGAATGATGAATCTTCTCTGTTTGTTTAATTGATTGTCCATTGGATGCGAATTAAAAAAGCCTTCACCAAAAAGATTTGCCATACTTTTGAGTCTTGTGTGCCACTGATCAGTTTCTCACCACAAATTTCCTCAAACATATCTTGTTCGGTTGGAACTTGGAAGATTGTCCCGAGTTGCTCTTCAAGTGAAGCCTTGTTGATGTGTCTGTGTGTTTTGAGGGTCTTGGTGGTTCATGACTATTATCAACTACCGCCACCGCGCCAGCGTCCTTTTTGTATTTTAATTGTTTTGCCTTTTTTTTTTTTTCTATTCTGGCCGGCAACCTACTCTACTTTCATTCATGCCGAATGCTCTAATGGTGGATTCAATCTACTTTAGCAACTAATTAGATATGTTTTTCAATGGTGTCGAATTAGCGATTATGGAATGATTTAGGTGATGTTTGGTACCGTTTATATTTATTCAATAAACGTTTTTTCATTCTCTCTTGCCCTTCTACATACATCGAAAATGTAAAAAGTGAACTTTGATTTATGTGTATGTCATCCCTTTGTAGAAGTTATTTCCAGGCGTTTATTTGCTGTTAGGCTTAAGTGGTGCTTAGTGGTGCCCGGTTGTTATAAATTGTTGTAATTATTGTGTTTCTTGGTTTTACTAGCAAATAAAGTATAAACATTTATTCAATAAACATAAACGGTAACACATACTTAATAGGTGTTTAGCACCAGTGCGATTTTCAAGCGATATTCTATTCTTAAAAAATCGCTTCATGACCTTTTCTCAGAAAATCTCATTTGGTTCTGTTTCATGCCACATCAGTAAGAAACAAGTTTTTCTAAAAAGCGCATTTGGGAGCATGGCTTTTCTTTGTAGCATTTCCTTGTCTCTGAAATGATCCCATCCAACCCATGTGCATGCTATACAAAATTATTCTAATTCAACAGTATCAAAATACCCAGAAAAAATGGTATAGTTGGTGTAGAACGGGAGGAGAGAGAAGAAAACAGTCAATCGGGAATACAACGGTAAGAAGAAAACAGCAAATCGGAACCGACGATTTCTGAAGAATAACAGGCAAGGAACTATGTTTTGGTGAAGAAAACAGCAAGACCCTGAGGAATAACTCCCGTTTTCATGCCGATGGAAGATAGAAGAAGACCCTGAATCAATTATTATCCGAGTTGGATTACACCTGGAACCACGTCGGATTGCGTTTTTGAATCCGTGGGCTGATTCAAGAAATGTTAAAACAGTGTTTCCACTTTTCACTGAAAAAGGTGAAATTGGGAATTCTGAGACAAACATTTTCTCGGAAAATACAGTGCCAAACACAATTTTCACACGATTCCGATTCGGTTTATTTGCTGATGTATTGTTGCTGCCACTTCAGACTTTAGTGAAAACGAATAACTAGAAAATGGCACCGGTGCCAAACAACCACTTAATTAGTTGGAGAGTTATCTATATTCCGTAGAGTACAAGCTTCCATTTAGCCAAGATGGGAGACCTTCTAAAACACAAAACTGTGGACAAGAGGACCCAATTTCTCACGAGTCACGATAAGGAAAGTGGTGTTTGACAGTGCTGCTTGGTGGCTCGTCGAATCTGTCTTTGGATGGATCTGCCTTACAAAACCTGCTCACAATCTGGGGTTAATCGATTGTGGGGGTTGGACCATTTGCAGATGCGGCTGGCCAAATATAACTCATATTTGCTGGTGTCTTCCAGGGTTCAATGTCACTAACATAACAAACAAGCCCCACGTTGGCAAGGTTTGAGAGAATCTTAGGCTAGTTTAGGGTGCAACGCAACCGTGCAATGCATTGTACTAGTAAGTGCTAATCATTATTCCTCTTCAATGATAAAATTACTGGAAAATGTAACAACTTCAATATAATTGAAAACGGTCAAGTCTCGTTTTAATCCACTCCATTAAATTTAATTAATTAATTAATTTAGGCCCTGTTTGATTTTACTACAAGTGTTGGATAGGGTTGTTCATGGGTCAGGTTGGGTTGGTTTACTAGTGTTTTTTTCAAGTGACCTGACTTGGTCGGATTACCTATAGATCAAACCGAAATTGATCCTCTATTAAGTAAAACCGACCTGGTCGGTTTGGGTTTCAATCAACTCCAACCTTGCACAATGCACATGAAGTCAAAGTGCTAATATTATATATAATATTTCAGAATATATTTTCTGGAAATATATATTTAAAACCAAAACATATATCAGAATATATATTCTAATTTCTGAAAATATATATCTGATATATTTCAGAATATATATTTTTTCAGATATATATTTATTATTTAAAACTAAAATATCTATATTTAATAGATATTTTTTTAGATAACTCGATTCGGTTCAGTTTCGATTTTCACACATGAAAACCGAAATCGAACCGAATTATTGGTTTACTCATCCTTGCAACCCGAAACCGACCGGTATTGAAGAAAAACTAGCCGACTCGGGTTGGATCTGGCTGGGTTGGTTGGTTTGGATTTATTTGTGAATAGCCCTAGTGTTGGGATCACAAATTAAGTGGTAATTAAGTGCTTATGCATGTTTGCTAAAAGAAGTCACCAATAAATATATTTTTTTAAGAAGTACTTGTAGAAAAAGTGACCTGAGATTACCTTTTTTTTTCAACATTAATTGGAGAAGTGTTTATTCGAATGACATGGACGACACAGTCCCTAATATTTTTAATTCCTAAACTACTCCCACGAGAGGGTTTTCTTCTCTCTTCTTCCATTCGAACTCCAAACACGTAGGAGGCGATGCACGATACTTGGTTTGTGATCGGTGACGACCAACGAACCAGTCGTTTTGCCAATGACTACCGATTTATGCATTCCTTGGTCAACTTGAACTATTTTTCTGGATTTTATTAATGCCTGAAACTCCCCTCTTTGGTGTGTTCTCAAATCTGTCTTGAGCGAGTTTAACAACGACAAGCCACTGTCTAGACATCGACAAACGAAGGTTGGTTAGCCCAAATGAACCTCTTCCATGTTTGGTGTTGTTTTTTGGTTTTTTTGGATGAATATTTGGCTGAGTCGATTTTTTTCAGATTTTATAGATGAGAAATCTGAAATATTTTGGGCGTTTTTTTGGCTGCATTGTATGTGTGATGATTCTTATGGATAAGTAGGATTTTTTTGGTGTTTTTTCGTTCAAGATCATGCAAAAAATATGTTGAAATATGTGGTTGCAACATTTTTCTTGATTTTTTGTATGAATAATTAGTTAAATGATTGCATTTTTTATTGATTTGTGATTGCATTTTTCTTTGTTTTTTATATGAATATTTGTGATGCTTTTTATATTTTGTTGTGATCAATAATTAGTTAAATGCTTCCATGTTTTCTTGATTCGTGATTTCATTTTTTCTTTATTTTTTATACGAATATTTGTGATGTTTTTTATATGTTGTGATTAATAATATGGAAAATATGTTTGCATTTTTTATTGATTTGTGATTGCATTTTTTTCATGAAATTTTATATGAATATTTGTGATTGCATTTTTTATTGATTTGTTACATTTTATTGAAATGTATAGTATATAATATGTGAAAAGTATTATTTATAAGCATGAGTGAAGTGGGGGTTAAAGTTGTCATTTATGCCAATATAAGCACTTGTGGAAAAAGTAGTTCACTAAACATCCTATTCTAATAAGTGCTTTAAAAACATAATAAATGATTTGACAAATAAATCACCAATCAACCTTAAATGATTATTAAAATAAACACTTACAATAAATACTTAATTGGACAATAAATAATTATTTTAACAATCACTTAATCACCAAACATAACCTTAAAATTAAAACTTCAATATTCTCCCGGGTCTCTAATGTCCCTCACATGTATAGGAGCAAGGACTCAAGACTTATTGGAGGCACTAATAACAACAAATGATTGCCCACAATGCGAATTGCGAATTAGAGAAATGTTCATTTGCTTGCGACCCCACGCCCTACTGCTCCCGTCAATATTCTGAATTGTGAGTTTTTAATTGTGGGAACGCATTGACGACGATATTGGCTTGTCTGTGCGGTGGTGTAAAGTATGCGTCTGCGTCTCTTCGAACAACAGATTACAGAACAAATAACAAGGCTCGCTCTGCTTTGCTGTTTATAGTGTTTTCCTCACACCGTCCCATCTTTCCACGTGGCATTTTTTTTTTTTGCCAAATTTTGATTAGCAACGTGGCAGAAAGTTGGTTATATTGAAGGGCCACTATTCGAAAAATGAATTCAACTAAACACCAAGGAAAAATAATAAAATTTACTCTTAGAAAAGTCAAACAACAAGTAATTCATCAGATTCTATGGGTAATTGGGGTTACGATGGATCCAAGAGAATCTCCAGTATCCTTGATCCAAGAAAGCTTTTCCCATCATCTTTGGTGCCCGTGCTGCCTCCATGGAGTTATCTTCGCTCCTTGATAATACCATTTTGGATTTAATTCATTGTATCATCAATACTTGTAATAAACCGTAGCTTTCTTATTACGCAATGTTAATTCAATTCCTATATATAGAATTTTTAATTTAATTGTCAAACTGCATAATTTAATTATTAAAAAGAATTATTCAAGCAACGCATTTTATGTATTTAATCAGGATTCTTTACATATCAATATCATAGACAAAAATAAAATAAAATAAAATTCCTTGTCGATGAACGACGGTGGCGGGCGGCGGTGGCTGCTCGTGATGGTTGTTCATTGTTCATATTATTTGGCAGGTAGAAAAAACCAAGAGGCATATAATAATAACAATAATATAGAGACATGCATCCACCATTGTCATCCTTATCCAAGTTGCAGATGATAATTCAGTCACTGGCTCACCGCCATGAATGAACCATGTCTACGTACCACACAGCTGCTGTAGTTAATTTGTCTTGGGTCACGACTCACGGGCACGAGCACCAACGACTTTTCCAAGTGGGTATAGTTTGGTTCGAAAACTAAGGTTAAATGTGGGCGGCAATATCAATTCAATAGCTGCTAGTCTGCTACCCAACCCAAATAGTCACCACTCACCACTTCCACTTGGTACTTTGATTTAAACAAGGAAATAATAAAAAAGGATGAGAAAAGAAATTAATAAAATAGAAAAACAAGAATATAACATTTAATTCTTTATCGCCTGCTGAATATCAAAACGGTTTTGTATTTTTAAATATGCAGAAAGAGGTAGCCCTGTAGATTGACTAGTACTAGCAGTAGCAGTTTCTACCAGAACTTGAAACTTCGTATATGATTTAAGCCCAAGGAATCCAAATCAGCTCTGCTTGAAGCTGCATTCAATTGAGCTTCCTTATTAAGGTTGATTAATTTGCCCTTACCCCAGTTTGGAGATTCAGCTGAATCATTATTTCGTGG